TTTGCCATGATTGCTATAATAAAGTAATATATTTAATGTGGAAAATTTCGAGTCCAGAATACTGATCATCAACCGGAGCAATGATCATCAGCTCAGAAGAATTTGCTGAGCCACAGATTGTGCAATAATAACCTTATTTTTTCGATTGAAAATTCTTCTAATCATGTTTATAGTAATAATAAGCCTCTTCGTTTAAGATACTCTGACTAGTCCAGAGCGTGTTGAGAGGTGATCATTAATTAGATTTTATTTTCGTTTGAAGATTAAAGAAAACTAGTTAATCAAGCAGAATGCTAGTACTTTACCGATCTAACTAATCTGGATCAGCCGAATAATCTACATATTTTTATCGATTTTGAATACTAACATTTGATATTACACAGACATGGAATCCAAATAGATCTATTAAAGCAACGTATTACCGAGCTTGAGGCTGAGCTTGAGGCCAAAAATTCTGAGATTCCTGAACTTAGAAAGAAGCTTGCTGAATTTGAAGCTAGGGATGTTGAAATTCACGAGCTTAGAAAAAAGGTTGCTGAGGTTGAGGCCATAAATGTAGAGCTTATAAAGCAGATGATGGAAGAGAATAACAGACGCGACGCTAGAATTGAGGTTCTAGAGAAAAATAAGATGGATACTATTGATAGAGTTCCTATATTGGAACAGAAGCATTCGCAAGATGATATTACTAATAACAACTCTTCTAACTTTGCTTTAGCGCCTTCGGCCAATTCGGATGTGGTCCATCATGAAAAATCATCACAGGAGAAAGAAATGGATATTTTCTTGGATGAAGAGGATAAGAAAATCGTTGATGAAAATATTAGGCGATGCAATAAGGAGAAGAAACTCCAGCGCGAATCAGCTGGCCAGGATAGTTCTTCTGATACTGCTTATGCATCAGAAACGGTTAACAATGATGAACTGTCTCATGAAATAGAGGTGGTGCAGAGCAATCAGTCATTGCAGATATCCTTCAGGAAGAAATCTCCACAGTGGAATCGAAAGTGTCACACGATATAAAAACTGTTAACATGATTTCTGAAAATTTTGAATTATCACGTGATAAAAAACCCGTTAACATTGTTAACAGGTTTTCCAAAAATTCAAAATTGTCACATAAGAGAGAAACTATTACCAATACTTCGCTCACCTCCTGTCCAGAGATAACCGAATTCATATAAGGTTTGTTGAAAGAACTACTCTCATCTGATGATAAACTCCAGACTATAAAGTTTTCTCCTCCCAGACCTCTAGTTCTTGGATCAATAAACATCAAAAAACTTGCCAATTCATTTTGCCAGGCAAATATTACAAGAAATAAAACGATTATAGCAAAGCGATCAGAGATTACATTATGGTGTTTATTCTCCAAAAAGTTCGAAGATAAAGTCGTGGAGCTTAGGTCTAATGATAAGAAACTTACAGATCAGACTGCAAGAAAGCAGATCTATAATGAAATGAAACCATACCTTACGGGTGTTTCTGATGGATATTTACGCGTAATGACCTGTAAAGCAAGAAAAATCAATAAGCTATTTGGCTATGAATACGACCCTAAAACTCTGAAAAGGATTGATGGAATACCAGGGTATATGGTTAATCAAGTCACTTATAGTGTTAATAGTATTTCAAGACTCACTAATTCTCAAATCGAATACATCATAGAACAGGTCAAATCGAAGACAATCACTAGTTCTGTGAATGAAATCTCTGAGCCCGTGGCTACTACTTCAGCTCATGATTCGGTCCACTCAGGTGATAATTTTAGAGATACATCAGATGATACAAATTATTTTAAGTCAAACGATGAATCTGAATCTGATGCTAATAAATCTGATTCTGATGTATATTTCAAATCCGATGACTCCGACTCCGATGATGAGTATGATCACGAACTTCATGAAAGGCTTACGCGTGAAGAAATGGCAAGAATAGCGAAGTTAGAGGATAAAACACCAACTAAACCTGAGGTAAATGATGTCGATTTCGATAAAATGCTCTCGGAAGCTATCGAGAAAGAATTGGCATATTTTGATGATCCCGCATCTCAGTCAGTGAAAAAAAACGAATAGAGAAGTTGTTTCGCAATCAGGGGGAGAAACTAACGAAAGTAAGTTAGACAATGACTCTGATTCCAATGATTCTGAAGAAGAGATGCACCGAAGGGGTGAATCGGACGATGATGGGTATAATGGATACGGTGGATATGATGAATATGATGGTCACAATAGAGGCTATTATTATCGTGATGGAAGATATGTAAGGAAGGTCTCACCAATGATGAGTCCTATTATCTCTCCAGTAACTGCCTAGAAGAATTATTGGGCGAATCAATTACTCGCATTGACTGAATTATGCGAATTCGTATATTTCTTTTTTTTTCGAATCATGTGGGTGGCTTAGATATGATGCATAGTAAAACGTCATTTATTCTTCTCCGCAGTAATTATATAATGTTATTTTTCTTCGAGATTTTGAATTCACTATTCTAAGATCAAGAGTATGGTTCGTAAAAAGAATAAGAGACATAATCAATCCACACCATCGGCAACTTCAGCATCAGCTGAGGAGACCCAATCCGAAAGTCTTATAGTGACGGCTACGGAACTACAAGAACTTGTACGTCAAGGTCTCATAGTTGATGAAGTTCATGAAGTACTAGAATATGATCGAAAAAATATGCCTTGGATTGATAACTTTGTTCATGCATCGATGGAGCTTGAAAACCAATGCAACGATCCACGAGAAAAAGCATTTCATGCCTTAATGAGGGAGCTCTTTGGTATGAAAGCATTTCGTGAAACATCCATTCAAGCTGGTCTCATTTCTAAGGCGCAAGATTTTGGAAATAAAATAGATAATCGCATAAGTGATTTTATCATTCAAATGGGGGAAGGCAAAAAAGGATGGTTAAGCCGTAGATCAGTTGCGATATTGCGTCAGATGTCAACTACGAAAAGAGTAATAGATTTGCTTAATATTGCCAAAAATAAAGGTCCTGAAACTCGTGGACAAATAATCATTTTCTAAAAGATATATTCTTTCAAAATCACGTAAGGTGACGTCTCTTAATTCCCAATAATATGACACTGGCTCATGTGAATCCGCAGTATATGCTAGGCGCAGTAATACATCACTGTCATCCGCAGTCATCATTTTTGTCGAAGGCGCTAAGGCGGAGGATCTATTAATAAACCAATATTTTTGTCACTATAGTGATGAACTTTCCCCAATGTTCTGGTATGTTCTATCTCACTCATTACTCAGTTCTGAATTACTAATAAGAAAACCATATACCTGATTTACATTTTGCGGATCATAAGTCAGGCGTCGTTAAAAAGAAAATCAAAAATGGAAATAGAGCGATTAGAATCTATGATTTACGGATTCTCAGATAAATGGTCAAATTATGTGTATGGGTAATAATACATTAATCCGTTTTTGGACAGGAATTCTTTATTCCGATTTTTTGTAAGGGGCATATCAGCTAATCTAGATATACAATTACTCCATTGTATAAATTTATAGCATATTGTTCATCGGATATTACTTTTAGCGCAATTTTCTCTTCTGAAAAGAAAGGGTCATATCAAATAAGCAGTATATTTTATTAGATAATCTGCAAATCGTGGGGTACAAGGGATGTAAAATTTACGCCATTACTCCCAATAGTTTTATTCCTAGAATGGATAATTTTTCGCAAAAATAATTAATGCGGATCTATATGATATTTTTTATAAATACCCTGCCTATTTTTCCCTTTACAATTCGATCCTTATTAGAGGGAACATTCATTATGAAACTACTTTGAATCGAACTGCGCCACAAGCAAATAGAACTCCCGCCTTCTTATATACTCGAAGCAAGAAAAAAAAAATGTTTTCTTATTTACCTTGCCGTGAGGTGTTTCGCATGGTTATACACTATAAGCAGTTTACTGAAGTGATAGTTCTTCCTTGGCTTACGGGTATTCATTCTTTAGACACGAATGAAATAAGTGAATAGGGATAGGCGACTAGGAGCTTTATATATTGTAGCATATTCATATACTGTACATTTCATGATCCCAGAGGGGTCCAACGAATATTTCAAAAATTTTTATTAATAAAAGAACTTTTCTTTTGCGTAAGGCCTTTCGCCAAGCATTTACGAAAAAATAATATTATCATTCATTGTTTGAAACATGTTGTGGAATATGGGGTGTACTAACTTTTTTCGTCTATAGGTACAAACGCTAGATAGGATCTTAAACATTTCTTTTTTTTTTTCAGAAATAGGGGTAAAGTTATGACGATTATTCCAGATTCATATTTCGATGCGAATTCTCTATGCTAGTGTATATGGATATTTATTTTACCAGGCGATTGTAAAACATATAAAAGGATTATTTCTAGAGAAGCGCTTTGGTATTTTTTTCCTCCAACAAGTAAAAAAAAATATCAATTTCTCATAAAACTAATAAAACAAAAATCTATCTAAAAAATGTTCTCAAACACGGATATTTTCTTGATCGCAATCTTTGGCGTCACAATTGTTTTTTATGAGATGCTGACCCATGGTGTCCTAACTATGGAAATGATCCAGGACATTTTTTCTGGAAACGTAAACATTTATATAATCTTTGCCATCGCTATCTTCTTCTTTCGCAAATATCTAATGAGATCACGAGATAATAACCTCGAAAGAACCATCTTAACATTAAGCAATGAACTTCAAAGAATGCGTACAGAAGCTGAATGGAAAAATGATGCGATATCTCAAGGTAGGTCGTACATTAGAAAAAAATATAACGTCATACATATATACTTATCTGCGCCTTACTGCGTCTTATTTTTTTTTCTAGCAGGATCTAATCGATTCTCTTCCACAAGTCACGTTTCCATGGAAAATTGTTCTGAATTTACGGATGAATACGAAACATATTGGGTCGAATTTACAGCCCTTTTTAATAATAGGAGGAAAAAAGAAGGTCGTTCTCCAACGCAATTATACAATATTTTATCAATCGAAATTGGTCTTAGTGCTAGCACATTGGCTAGTTTTTATCGTCATCAAAAACCACCAAGAAGAACTTCTATTGACAAAATCATCGAATGGGTTGAAAAGGAGGGAAATAAGAAAGTAGTTAGTTTTTCTGATAGTAGCAGTAGTAACAACAGTAGCAGTAGCGGTAGCGTTAGAGGAAGTATCGGTGGAGGTAATATTGCGAAATAACTTGATGCTGAGA